TGATCACAATATCACAATTTTACGTTTTCATGAAACCCTAACAAAAGAAAGGCCCAGCAATAAAAATCAAGTCTTCATTTATTTATTTTCTTAACGCGGTACTGAAGAAGATACCGATCCGATGATCAAACAGGGAGATTAGCTACGTCGTCATGTTGGAGGTGAGGATTGGTAGGGAGAGCGAGAGGGCGATCATCATCATCATCATCAGGATCTGTGGTGGAAACATTGACGCAAGAGAAGCGTTCAAGGGAAGAAAAGAAGGCGGAGATCACGGTGGCGCTGACCCAATTAGCTACATTATTCAAACTCTCCACCGATACAATGCTGTTGGTGGTGGTGGTGGTGGTGGTGGTGCAGTCGGTGTTGATGTTATCGTTGCTGTTTTCCATTATCGATCAAAGGAAGAGGAGCTTGGGAGAGATTTTTGAACCCTTATTGAGAAATTGAGGGGGAGTCAAAATTGGCAGAGTAAGGTGGGCGAGCAGGGGTTCCAATTTTGGATTTTGTGGGCTATTTAATAACGATATTAATCGTCAGTCTTATCCGTGATTAGTATTTAGTGGGATAGAGTGAGATTTCGGCAATAATATCAAAAATTTATTAATAAAAATTAAATCTAAAAAAAAAAAAAACTATGTCAGCAGAACCTTCGAAATTAAAGAGAAAATTGAAACATCGTGTCGTCAACTGGTTTTTTAAAAAAACTTAGAATTCTATAATATGTAGTAATTTCAGATATTTAAAAAAGAAAGGTAATTATGTTTTAAGAATGATAGATATCATTATTATTATATTTTTTTAGTGAAGAATTATCTTAATTATACATTTTTATTTAAATTTACTTTATACATGTTATTAATTGTCTAAATTATTTCTAAATTTATTCACAATTATTTGTTATTGATGTATATTTGTCAAATCAAAATTTAATCTTGAATTAAATTCTCAATGATTTGTTTAATTTTTATTTTAAAAGCATTATATATTTATGTTAGTCCCTAAAACTAAAAAATTAATTAACTTTAGCATTCAAATAACAAAAAGTGTTGTGATAAAAGTTCGTTGATGTATTTTTTAATATTTTTTAAAGTTAAAATATCATGATAGACGCACATTGTTTCCTAAAAACTAGGATGCATATTTGCCTAGTTCTTTAAAAATCAAGTTTTGATCAAAAAATAGTTCAAATTTGATGAAATTTATGGATGTTATTTTTATTTTTCTTTAAAAAATAAATATTTACACAAATATACACATATAAAAAAGGTGATAACATAGTTTTAAAAACAATAATAATATTATTTAAAAGTTATAAAAAAATGCATAGGTGAAAGTTGTTAATTTTTAAAAATAATTTTTTTCATTCATGCATGTGCAATAACATGACAACAAAACTCTACAAAAGTGATTAGAATGGTATTTAAATGCTATTAAAAATAAAATAAAATAAAATAATCTCATGAGTGATAAGTTGTTGATTTTTTAAAATGAATTTTTTTTACAAATATGCACACATAAATATGTGACAAAACATATTTATAAAATGAAAAAAAGTTAATTACATGGGTGGTTCTAAAATAATTTTTTTAAAAATAAAAAATTATAAATAAAAAATTCCATACAAAAACCTTGAATAAAAAAATTAAAGAAAAAAGTTAGAATTTTATATTGGAGGGGGTGGGAAAAAAAAATCTCATACAAAAACCTTGAATAAAAAAATTAAAAAAAAAGGTTAGAATTTTATATTGGAGGTGATGCTAAACGAGGGAGGAGCTACTTGGTTGGCTAATGATAGCTATTGGTGATAAAGATAGTTTTTGCATTGGTTAATTTAATTTTTGTTGGTTTTATCTTTCTTTTTTTAAGGTTTTCTCCTTTTCTCCTTGTTTTCTTCTTTTTTTTTCTTTTAAGTTTATCTTTCTTTTTTTTTTTCTTCTTTTCTCCTGTGATCATTTTTATCTCAAATCATCTCTATGTATCACTAAAAAACCATCTTTTTCTTGCTACACTTTCTAAGTTATTATTCTCTTTCTAGCTCGAGGTCCATTGTTTCTTGTTTTGCCTTTCTAATTATAGGCAATGATGAAGATTCTAGAACCCTCATTGATAACATGATTATAACCATTAATCCTTTTAAGTCAGTCTAAATCATTTATAATAGTTGACACTATATTCAACATAATTATGTTGTCCTGCCACATTATATTTTGTATTGTTTCGTATGGTTATTGTGTGTAAAAGTTAAGTATAAGGGAGATATTCACATGAAGATAATAAAGTTTTTCTTAGTATTTACAGGTGTTATAAGTAAAAGAAATAATGGGTTAAAATGTGCAATGATACATTAAAAAAATAAAATGTATGTAGGCTTACAGAGAAAGAAAGCATTGTTTGGATATGCACCAAAATGGTGTCATTTTGGTGCTTGTGATTTTTGTTTTTTGTTGGTTGAGATATAAAACAGTGTTGCTCCATGTAAAATCGATCATTTCACTTTGATTTTTTTTATTAAATTCAAAACGATATCGTTTTAAAAATTTTATGTTTTCAAATCAATCCTCTACTTTTCTTGAATTGTCTATTTTAGTCCTTGGTTTTCTAATTTATTTATTTTCAACCAATTTCAATATTTTCTTTATATGTTTATTTTTAATTTCATCCATGATTAATTAAAAATAGATATTTATGTGTTGCTACCTTTTATATTTTGGTTCTTGCCTTTCATATTTTGGTTCTTGCCTATACCATTTTTAATTTCCAACTAATTCTAGTCTTATTTTCTTCAATTTCTTTTCATTTTCATCTCTAATTATGTCAAAAATGGGTCCATGAATTTCACACCCTTTTCAATTTGGTTATTAGCTTTCTAATTTTCAATATTTAGTCAATTTCAACCTTATTTTTCTTTTTTTTCCTTTCTATTTTCACCAATGATTGCATAACAACAAGTCCTTGAATTTTGATATCCTTTTCAATTTGATTTTTAGTTTTTAAATATTCATTTTTTATCTAATTTCACCATCTTTTCCTTAATTTTTTTTCAATTTTATCCCTGATTGTATTAAAAATAGACCCCTGAATTTTGATATCCTTTTCAATTTGATTCTTGACTTCCTAATTTTTAATTGTTATCAAATTTTACCGTTGTTTTCTTAACTTCATTCTTAATTGTGTTATAAATAACCCCTCATCTTTTTTGTCTTTTCTAATTTTATCATTAGCTTTCTAATTAGCCAATCTCAATCTTTTTGTCAATATTTATTTCCAATTTCAACACTAATTCATGATTTTTTCAATTATTTTTTTTTGAATTTTTTCTGGAAATATTCTTTTTTGTTGAAGTATTTTTTATTTTTGGGATATTTGAGAAGAGTAAAAAAACAAATTTCAGCATGCTTTAAGAAAATGGAATAAAAAGGAAACCAATAGGTTGACAAAACTTTAATCCACCGAAAGATACGGGAAGCTTGCATTTGCAAATATTAATGGATGTGCTTAGCTTAGCCTTACAAGCTGAATAAATTTATTTGAAGGCAATTCTATTATTAAATGTAAAAAGAAAAAAAAAAGAATAAGAAGAAGCAATCGGGCCATTTTAAGAGAAAAAAAATCAGGCTTGATTTGGGATGTAGCCTGTGTGCCAGGCCCAAACCATAAATCCCAGGCGCTCTCTTGCCCAGAAAGCTAAGTCTTCGCGCCTAGGTTCTTATTTATTTATTTTTTTAGAAGGAGGTTGTCTGCTCTTTTTTTTTAAAAAGAAACTATTATTGTGGACACGTCATCTAGAATATTTTCTGACCACGTGAGCTGGATTTAGATTTGGTAGGTGGAAAATAGGAGTTAAGTTTATTTTACTTTAAAAAGCTAAATTTTATTTTTTTTATCTACAAATATATATAAAAAACTATTATACATAACTTTAAAATTCAATTACTAATCACAAAATACATTTTAATTATATATTTTTCTTTGGCAAAATTTTCAAATTTGGCAAAATCAAAGGCAACAAACACCTTCATTGAATTCTTAACAAATTGAATTCATAACAAATCGTATAATTTTTTTTAAAATATGAACTCAAAAATATTAAAATTATAGTGGTGGTTGAAATTGTTCAATTCAATAACTTTCTTTCTTTATTTTTTTTTTATGATTTTCTTTTTTATTTTTGACTTTCAAGAATTGAAATACAAGAAAAATAAAATTATAGAGTTGAGTTAAATTTATTTAAAATATTTTTACCCGTCACCATATTAATAATATTTAGTTTTTAGATTTTATAATTTATCATCATTTATAATATTACATTATTTTAACTTTGATGGATAGAGTTTAGTCAAATAATGAAAATATTATAAATTAATTGGTTTTCTTAAAACCCCGAGTCTAAATAAGTTTTTAGTCTTGCTTGTTTTTGTGGATGTTAAGTGTTTTGAATAAAAAAATGAATTTTTTTATATTTTTAGATTGTTTTTATATTTTACTATTGAATTTTTTTATTTTAATATATTTATAAATAAAAATATATATAACTTTGAAAATAGTTTAAAACCATATTCTCTCGGTTTCTCATGTAATATCTCATGTCAATCAGTATAAGTATAAAAAAAAAAATCAAAATGCAAATCAGTGTTTGGTTTAGCAGCAGTGAAAGGGGATTGTCTCCTTCCACTATACTTGGGTTCGAGCCCTGACGTGTATGCCTGTCATCTTCGCGGTGCCTTACATGTCTATTGGGTTTGCAAGATATTTAATGGGTTATAGAAATTAGTCGTGGTGCGCGCAGCTGGCCGGACACCCAACATAAATAAAAAAAAATCAAAATGAATAGTCGGATTTGAATGGGAAAAATAAAAGGGAGTAGATCGAAGTCAATTTAGTTAAGGTTGACACGTACATTGATTGACGTGTCAAAACAAAGTCAGTCACCCAAGCCCGTCAAAGGATCCTGGAATGCCAGAAGGCCCAGAACCCAATAGAAAAATTGAATTCAAAAAAACCCACCCTCTTTCTTCCATTCAATTCCTATATAAACCACAAAAGGTCCCTCTGAATCCTAATTTAACGGAATAGAATCCAATCCCAATTCCCAATATTCCAAGCACCAAACACAAGGCTGCCAAAAATCCCTCTCTTCTCCACCCAACCCAATACCTCATTGTCATCAGTCATCACATCTAGAAATTACTGAAATTCTTTCATCCTTTCTCTTTAAAGATTTTTGAGCTCCTCGGTGTTGTTTTTATCGAGTGGATTTTGACACTTTTGAGGGGTTTTCTTGGATTTTAGGATTTGAAAACACCATGAGGCTGTTGAAGGTAGCTACTTGTAACTTGAACCAGTGGGCAATGGATTTTGACTGTAATTTAAACAACATAAAAGAGTCAATAACCCAAGCTAAACAAGCTGGTGCAGTCATTAGACTCGGCCCTGAGCTTGAAATCACTGGTTATGGCTGTGAAGATCATTTCTTGGAACTTGACACTATCAATCATGGGTCAGTTTCACTGTTTGTTTTTGTTTGTTATTTTTTAAGATTGTCATTATCTGGTTTTTGTTTGTATGGTGTTTTTACGTTGCTGAATTGGAAATTAATAGTAAGAGTTTGAATCTTGATTGCAGATGGGAGTGCTTGAAAGAGATATTGGTTGGTGATTGGACAGATGGGATATTGTGTAGTATAGGAATGCCTGTAATTAAGGGATCAGAGCGTTATAATTGTCAAGTTTTATGCTTTAATAGAAAGATTATTATGATTCGTCCAAAAATGTGGCTTGCAAATGATGGGAATTATAGGGAACTTAGGTGGTTTACAGCATGGAAACACAAAGATCAGCTTGTGGACTTTCAACTCCCTAGTGAAATTGCTGAGGCTGTTTTACAGGAATCGGTGCCTTTTGGTTACGGATACGTGCGCTTTTTAGATACGTAAGTGATAGTGGCTTTCTGGTGGTTCCTTTTGTTCTTAGTTTGATTTAGTTATGGTTAGATTGATAATTTAAGGGTTGATGTAGGCACTGCAGCGTGAGTGTATTCATAATGATTATTGATTTTTTTTTTTTTTGTTATTGATATTTTGTTTCAACTAAATGATAATATTTGCATTTATTCATATGCAGAGCTGTTGCTGCGGAAGTTTGTGAAGAGCTTTTCACCCCTATCCCTCCTCATGCTGAGCTTGCGCTCAATGGGGTTGAAGTGTTTATGAATGCAAGTGGAAGTCACCACCAATTGAGAAAGCTTGATGTTCGTCTTCGTGCTTTTATAGGTGCTACTCATACTCGTGGAGGAGTATACATGTACAGTAATCAACAAGGATGTGATGGTGGCCGCCTTTATTACGGTATACAGATACTCTTAGTATCTTGGTGATTGCATTTAATTTTAACACTGCTTTTATTCTGTTTAGATCAAATATCTCCTGAATTTCATATAGAAGCTTACATGTTGCACTTATTTTGGTTTTTATGATTTGATGCTTACAACTTTTAGTAAAACTGCTTATTCTTTAGGTAGTGTTTTAGCATGTTTTTAAAACAGAAAATTGTTTGAAATTTGTGGTTAAAATTTCTTTTGTCACAGATGGGTGCTCATGCGTTGTTGTGAACGGAGAAGTGGTTGCCCAAGGCTCACAGTTTTCTTTAAGGGATATTGAGGTTGTCACTGCGCAAGTGGATCTGGATGCGGTATGCTATACTTTTGCACCCCTGTAGAATATGGGTGTCCATGGATTGCAGAAATATTTTATTAGAGAGCATTGTGTAACATATGTTTGTCAGCTGATTTTGCTTTTTGATAGAATATTGCAGCATTTTCAGAAGCCTCCATATTACTATATTTTCATGTTTTATTTTTGAGCATTTTGCTCTGATGCATGTAGTCTCTTTCTTGATGGCAGGTTGCTAGTTTAAGAGGATCTATCAGTAGTTTTCAAGAACAAGCAAGTTGCAAAAACACAGTATCATCAGTCCTGGTGCCATACAAGCTCTGTCAGCCTTTTAACTTGCAAATGTCCCTTTCTAGCCCCCTTCAGGTTTCCTCTTGGTCCTCCACTATTGGTAAATCAGGAATGCTTGATGTTAGCACCTGAGTTTTGAAGACTATCAACGAGTTTTCTAGATTATGAAACCTGTGAGTCAACTATCTAAGTTTATTGAATTAGGCATGATTTATGATTTGTAGATCAATTATCACTCTCCTGAGGAGGAAATAGCCTTTGGTCCTGGTTGCTGGCTATGGGACTATTTAAGAAGAAGTGGAGCTTCTGGATTCTTGCTTCCTCTTTCTGGGGGAGCAGATAGCTCCTCTGTGGCTGCTATTGTTGGCTGCATGTGCCAACTTGTTGTAAAAGGTCAGATTTTTCAATGTAACTGTTTCACTGTTTTAAGTTTACCCTTTTGTTCTAATTCCAACTACTGAAGGAGCTCATAAGTAGCCCAGTTAACTAGCCACAACTATCAATACAAACATCCAATTGCCAATTGCCTAGAGCTGAATTCAGTACCCAAGTCACTATCCAGGATTGCTTAGATAGAGCTAAGTGAAACAGTATTCTTTTAGATAATCCCAACTATGCACATTAATGAATTAGATTGAGAATGTTTAGTTCATAATTATATTGGGAGAGGTTTTTAGCAGGTATTAATCATGAAACGTAGCTCTAGTTTATGAGGTTGTTAGGAGTGGACTAAGAAGAGTTTTGAGGTAGTATCTACTCTGCCACCAGACATAAATTTATGTGCAAAATGCTTTCAGTCGTGTGAACTCGAAACAGCCATCCCTAAATCCTATGATTACTTTTCATTGGTTCCTTATGCATTTTGATTGCAGAAATTGAAAAGGGGGATGAACAGGTCAAAGCTGATGCAATAAGAATTGGGAATTATACTGATGGGCAGTTTCCTACTGACAGCAAAGAATTTGCAAAACGAATATTTTATACTGTATTTATGGGTTCTGAGAACAGGTTGGTACAGTGCATAGAATTGCTGCTCATCTTCTTTTTGTTGTTGTTACAGTTGTTTTACAGACAGGCTCACAGGCTCAGTATTGTCAATGCTATTGTAGGAACTTGCATTATTTATAGCAACCATTAAATTTTCTTTGATGCTGTCTGGATTATCAGTTGGCTGTGAATGTAAATCACTAAATCTTGGGAACTAATTTTTTGGACTGGTCCGAAGATTTTGTTATTTTGAAACATGAAAGTAGAGCTCATCGTTATTTTTATTTTTTTTCCCAACTTTATTTCCTAGCATTTAAATTTCTGTTCAGGACCAAACAGTTACTCTTGACTTGTTGCAAAACTATAACATTGTTAACTCATAACAAAAGATTCCTTAACAAGTTCAGCCATATTAATGGGCTTTCATGTTAATGCATGTTGTTGATTGCTTTAGGATTTGGTATAAACACCATATTTTTTGTGCTTGTCTGCTGTCTAGAAGTGGTTGTCAAGTAGAAAGATGCAGTGAATCTCCAAAGAGGATTGCTGGGATTGATTTGGGAGGAATTTCAGTTATTGACTAGTCCCATTGCCAGAAGCTTATCTTGTTACTTAATAAAATTGTTTCATTCTTCGATTGATTGCAATAACTTGAGCTAGTGTAGTAACTGGATTTATTTTTTGTTTCCCCTTCAGTTCTGAAGACACAAAAAAGCGAGCAAAGGATCTAGCTGATGAGATTGGTTCATGGCATCTGGATATTAGCATAGATGGTGTTGTTTCTGCTCTATTATCTTTGTTTCAAACACTTACAGGAAAGCGACCACGTTATAAGGTAAAATGATGTTTAGATAAACAGCCCCCAGTGGATGGCTTAGGAAAAAGAACTGCCTCCATATTTTCTTTCATGAGTGCTGTATGGTAGTTACTCAGATTATGCTGTGATGATTCAGGATCAATGAAATCTTAGCATTGGCTTTAATTTTCTTCCAGGAGCTATAATTTTAAGAATACCAGAATTTTTTTTTAATTAAAAATTTGCCTGGATGGGGACTGAGTGAGCTTTATGATATCTTTTTATTTTTTCCATTTTGCAGGTGGATGGGGGTTCTAACATTGAGAACTTGGGGCTGCAGAATATTCAAGCTCGAATCAGGATGGTGCTGGCATTTATGTTAGCCTCGCTCTTGCCATGGGTTCACAGCAAACCAGGGTTTTACCTCGTTTTGGGTAGTTCTAATGTGGATGAAGGGTTGCGTGGTTACCTAACTAAGGTACTGGATTACTTAGAATCCAGATATTACATGTTTTTAGTTCTAAAGCGAACTGTTTTTCTTAGTAAAATTGATTACTCCATCACTGCAGATCTGTATGGAGTATAGTTTAACGATTTGAGTAGAATTTTCACTTTTTCTAGTTTTGTAAATCAGATATATTAAGTTTTTCCTATTAAGTGAATTGGTTCTGGGAGCTTGATGTTGATATGACCAATAGTTAAAATATTCAATTGAAATGGTCCATCTACTTTTGGGAATTCACTTTTCATGTCTTTTGCAGTATGATTGCAGCTCTGCAGATATAAATCCAATTGGAAGTATTAGTAAGCAGGACCTTCGAGCATTCTTGCGATGGGCTGCTGTCCATCTTGGTTACTCTTCCTTGGCAGAAATTGAAGCAGCTCCACCAACAGCTGAATTGGAGCCTATACGTTCCAACTACAGCCAGGTCAACTTTCATTAACCATATTCATTTGCCACGTTATAGACAACAGCAATCTTATAGATCTTTAATTGCATGCCCGTGCTTGTCTCAAACTGATGCTTCTGCCTCTAATATTTATGCTTCTATCCAAGTGATAACCTAATTCCAATGCCCATTCTGCATGAGACAGCTTGATGAAGTGGACATGGGAATGACATATGAGGAACTCTCAGTTTATGGAAGGCTGCGAAAGATCTTCCGCTGTGGGCCAGTGTCAATGTTTAAGGTTTGGTTTGGGACTTGTTATTATGTATTATAATTGACTCATTGCATTTGAAGTCTCACATCTACTGGTGCTTTTATCCATGATTTCAGAACCTCTGCTACAGATGGGGGTCGAGATTATCTCCATCAGAGGTGGCTGATAAAGTAAAACACTTCTTCAAGTACTACTCCATTAATCGGCACAAAATGACTGTCTTGACACCCTCTTACCATGCTGAGGTATTGCATTGTAAATCTGGAACTTCAAACCATTATTGTAATTCAAAAAACTGATATTCCTGTCTTTGTGCAGAGCTATTCACCTGAGGATAACAGGTTCGATCTGCGTCAGTTTCTCTACAATGCAAGATGGCCCTATCAGTTTAGCAAGATTGATGAACTTGTTAAGGAGTTAGATGGTGATAAAGTTGCTTTTGGAGAAACTAGCGACCAGGATAAATCAAGAGCAAATGGATTAGGGATGGGAGTTGTAGCAGCAGGCTCAGGCGATCCAAAATCTGGTCTTTAATTTGAAGAAAAGGCTTGCTTATCCGCTCATTGTGTGCAAATAAATATTTTTCACCATATTTGATATTCAATTTATGTCAGGAAAATAAGTGAACAATATTTTCTTTTTCATCTGTTTCCTTGGGATAAAATGTCTCTCACTAACAAGAACGGGTCCATTCACCCCACTTACGATATATATTCCTTCGTTAATCCTGAGAGAACATCTTGTTCCCTTCTCTAGTTGATAAAGCAGATATGCATGCTTTGTGTGCAGTCTCTATTTGCTTTACTCAAGTCTCAGTTGCGTTTACCTAGTTTTTTTCCAAACTAGCAGTGGAAAAAATATTTTCTAAACTGGCAGTCAGAATTTTTTTTTTTTTTTCTTGGGCATGTTACATTCACATAAACAGAAATCTTTGGCATGTTGATGCCTGTTCCATGCGCCAGCAGGTGAGCATTTCACTAATTTTAGGCAGAAGCTCTTGGGGTGGTGTTTCTTTGTTTTTATGAATTTATCTTCTCATTATGGACTATGTATTTGTCCAGTCATTATGGAACTAGATGGTAAGTAGTAGATGTGTTATTATCAGGAGGGAAATGTTACTGGCTTCTCATTTTTTTTATTCTCTCTCCTTTGAATAGGAAGCCAGCCTATTACTTGAGAAGAAATAACTATTTTTATTAGAATTAAATAAGAAATTTGATGGAATAAATGAAGAACGGGATTTAAAAAATGAAGGGAAATTCCTTCTGCTCTACCTTTGCAATTAGTTAAATTGTGTTAGATTGGTAATTATTTATTTTTTTAACCATATTAGTTTGAGAAATATTTTTTCTACCTTGCGGAAGAGAACCAAGAAACCACTTGACAGCGCTAGTCTGGGCATATTCACACCAAAACCAAGATTTCAGTCAGGTTTTTTGGGTTTAAATGCCTGCAAATTGGATCAGATCGCCGTAACTTCTTCTGAAATAAAAGAGGAGCAATAAAGGACAAGCCCTTTCGTAGGTTGGGAAGTGCTTCCAAGGAAAGAACAGATCCACGACACAAGCAAACAAATAATGAGGGAGAAGACGACTGCTTGTCTTGTTTGCGGCTGATTTTGCAAGTAATTCTCTGCAGAAAACAAAAGGTCCTGATTATTCAAGACCTCATAAGATCTAGGGCCCTGTTTCTTTCATCGTGCACAACACTACCCAATCTTGTATCAAGAATATGATAATCATCACGGACCTTCTAACTCGTAGAAGGTGTTCTAAACACGTAGAGAAAACAAACTATTCCATGTATTTTTAACCTCAAAAAAATTAAAAAAAGGGATATGTTATTTTAACCCATTAGCTTCTAGGATCAACAAAATTACAATGTCCTCAACTTCATCTAGCCTACATCCTCATCGCTTGCCCTTGCTTTCCAGCAGGGCTAGAAGGAAGCAGAAAGATTCTCAGAGTTCATCTTGTGAGTCATCCTCGGAATCTTCAGCCGATCCACCACCTGCAGCTCCACCAGATCTCTGGTACACGGCAGTGATGATTGGGTTGCAAACAGCTTCCACCTCCTTGAGCTTCTCTTCATAGTCCTCTTTCTCAGCATTCTGGTTGTCGTCCAGCCATTCAAGGGCCTCCTTGGTAGCAGTTTCTATTTTCTCCTTCTCATCAGACTCGAGCTTGTCAGCAAGCTTATCCTTGTCGTTAATCTGGTTTTTCATGTTATATACATAGGTCTCCAAACCATTACGAGCATCAATCCTCTCCTTCACCTTCTTGTCCTCCTCGGCAAACTCCTCTGCCTCACGAACCATCCGCTCAATTTCCTCCTGGCTCAAACGACCCTTGTCATTAGTGATGGTGATCTTCTCTGATTTACCAGTGCCCTTGTCTTCGGCCTTGACATTCAGGATACCGTTGGCATCAACCTCAAACGTAACCTCAATTTGAGGGGTTCCCCTGTTACAGTCAAAGGATCAGTAAATATCAACTCCTAGAAAAATAATGGAGCATGTGCTGGAAACAGGTACACGAGGCAGACCTTGGAGCTGGAGGAATGCTGGTCAAATCAAATTTACCAAGCAACCTGCAATCCTTTGTGAGACTCCTTTCACCTTCAAAGACCTGTAATCAAACCAGAATCGACCCAATTAATATACAACTAATTTTAGTGTCAAATAATAGAAAAGTACATGTAACAATAATTTTACCTGAATGGAGACAGTAGTCTGCTGATCCTGGTAAGTGGTGAAAACTTGAGATTTCTTGGTTGGAATAACAGTGTTCCTTGGAATCAACTTGGTCATCACTCCACCAACAGTTTCAATACCCAGGGTGAGGGGAGCCACGTCCAATAGAAGAATATCTGCATCCAGAAGTGGCCATTGTCAATCACAGCTCAACTAAAATGGTTATTTAATATCATAGGGAACCACATTCAAAAGAAATGGCTATACCTTTGGTTTCATCACCGCCCTCTCCACTCAATATACCTCCTTGTACAGCAGCACCAAAAGCAACAGCCTCATCAGGGTTCACACCCTTGTTAGGCTCCTTTCCATCAAAGTAATCCTTAAGAAGTTGTTGAACCTTTGGAATTCTGGTACTTCCACCAACAAGAACAATCTCATCAATCTGATTCTTCTCCAAACCAGCGTCGTCCATAGCCTTCTTCACAGGTCCCATGGTCTTTCTGAACAAATCGTTGTTCAACTCTTCAAAACGGGCTCTGGTCAGTGGCTCAGAGAAATCCATGCCATCATAGAGTGATTCAATCTCTACACGGACCTGGTGCTGGCTACTAAGAGCTCTCTTGGCACGCTCACATTCCCTCCTGAGTTTTCCAAGAGCCCTGTTGTCCTTGCTGATATCCTTTCCATGCTTTTTCTTAATCAACTTAATGAAGTACTCCATAATCCTCTGGTCAAAATCCTCACCTGCAATAAAATAGACCGCGTGAGCTTAGTATCAACAATCGCAATATATCATTAGGAAAAAGAACACAGAATAATAACAGAAGCAAAAGGAAAACTAAAGCAGAGCTAACTATCATTCTCACCTCCCAAATGTGTGTCACCATTGGTGGAAAGAACCTCAAAGACACCGTTGTCAATTGTCAAGACACTGACATCAAATGTACCACCACCAAGATCAAAGACAAGAATGTTCTTTTCACCACCCTTCTTATCCAAACCATAGGCAATAGCAGCGGCAGTTGGCTCATTAATAATTCTAGCCACATTGAGTCCAGCTATGACACCAGCATCCTTGGTAGCTTGCCTTTGGGCATCATTGAAGTATGCTGCAAAATGAATCAGACCACCAAATCAATAACAGTTAACAACTGATGAAACCTTTGAAAATAACTTACGTGACCAAAAAAATAACTAACCAGGAACAGTGACAACAGCATCCTTAATTTTCTTTCCAAGGAATGCCTCAGCTGTTTCCTTCATCTTGGTCAAAATCATAGCACTAATCTCTTCAGGACTGAAGACCTTGGTCTCCCCATCCTTAATCTTAACTTGAATATAAGGCTTTCCATCCTTATTCACAATCTTGTAAGGCACAAGTTTCATGTCCTTCTGCACCTCTTTATCCTCAAACCTGCCAAACAATAAACCTTAGTGGCCAAATCATTCCCAAAAGCTTACAATAACAAAAACATAGGAAAATCATTTATTACTTTCTTCCAATAAGTCTCTTGACATCAAAGATGGTCCTCTCGGCATTGACAGCCGCCTGATTCTTGGCTGCTTCACCGATCAACCTCTCACTGTCAGTAAAAGCCACCCACGATGGGGTAATACGGTTTCCTTGGTCATTTGCTATGATTTCCACATGACCGTTCTTGTAAACACCAACACATGAATATGTAGTTCCAAGATCTATTCCAATAACTGTTCCTAGCTTCGTTGCCTCCTCTTTTGCAATCGAAATCGCAAACAAACACCCTATAACAATAAATAAATAAATATTTAAAAATATATCCAAATTAATGTCCCGATTCTAATTTACTATTATTTAATAAATAACTAAAATCTGGCACTGCTAATAGATACTTTTGATTATCGCACTATAAACGACACCGTTCAGCAGCTAAAATAGTAAATCGTTTCCTAATTAACGACAACAGCGCTATAAACAAACAAAATGTGAACAGATCTAAACGGAAGCGTATACGAGCTTAAAAAAATCAATCCCGATCTGCAGCATTATCTCTATCAGAATCAAACCAGATAAAAAGAAGAATAGAAAAGCGAATCAGATCTATCAAGTTGAAGAGATCGAAAACACACCGAATAAGAGAATCGCGGATACCACAGCTCCACGTGCTCTCCACGTGCCCGCCATCGCCTTCTCTCTGTCTGTCTCCTTCTCTCTCTGAATCTACAATGGAGGAGTTTCTGGTTGTTTTGAGAGTGAATAATATTACCGAGAGCGTGTGATGTTGAGTTCTACTTGTTTCAGTGTTTCTCTTCTGTAACGCGCGTTAATGAGCTTTATATTAGTAACGAGGCTCCATTGCGTAGCTTGAGGAACTGAAACAAGAACATGTCATAACAACTTACGTGGACCAATAGTAGTTTGAGTATGATGCGATCGGCCAATTAAATTCGAGCTCTTGCTGGGGTGATCGTGGCCGTTTGTTATTGGCAATTATTACGTGTCTTGGTCCAGCCTTCCAGGTTTGCTTGCATTGTTTTTCTAAGGTCCAATATATTTGGAAAATCTCACGGTGACCCCAGTCGAAAATTTTATTATTTGTGATAGTGACGTGCATGTTAGCCCAGTACCACATGCAACTAATGCTTTTTAATTTTGGTCGTTTAATGAAAACAAATTAAAACCTTGTTTATTCGGTAGAAAAGTTTTTTTAAATTATTATTTTTAAAATATTTTTAAATATTTTAATATGTTGATATAAAAAAATATTTTTAAAAAATATTTTAATATATTTTTAAATAATTTAAAAAAAAAAACTTTTATCATGATATCAAACATATTCAAGTTGTCTAGTATTCCAAATTTTATTTTCTTTTAATTAATTAAGTATATAGGTTTTGTTTTTATAAAAATAAAAGCTTCTATTTTCATCCATACCCTAATTAGCACATGGATTAATCATAATGTATTTTTCTCTCTTTTTTATCAGTTTTTTTTATTGATATTTTTATTTAGTTCTTATATGATGTGTTTATAGTATTTTAGAGTTGATAATATATTTTAATTTACTTTTATATGGTTATCATATTATCAAAAAAAAATCTCAATATTGTATTAATATCAAAAAAAAATATTTCATCATCGGGTTAGCATAAAAAATATCACAGCATCAAGTTGATATTAAAAAAATATCATATCAACACGGTATGGTTTATTTTAAAAAAAGTTTAGTTAAATAAAAAATCATTAGAAAAATTTAGGTTATTAAATTTTATAGAGTCAATAACTTAGTTTGTGAGTTTAATAAGATAATCTTAGTTTTTTTAGTTTGTGGGTTTAAAAATATTTTTTTTTCACTAATTGAACTTGATTATGTTATTGTTTATTTTTCTATTTGTCATATAGTTTAAACAAAATAGTTTTGAAAAAAAAAATCTTATTAAATTTTAGAAAATCCATGGTTCTGTTAACGGGTTTAGCGAGTTTAACTTTTTTTTAATTTCATCATTCGATACTAGGCTAAATAAGAATTAAGTTTCATAATGTGTTTTGTTTTACTTTTTATAAAGTTATTATAATTTAAAAAAAAAAGAGTTTTAATATTGGTTTGACGTTTGATTTTGCAAACATCTATTTTTGTTATTATATGATTCAAAAATTATTTTAGAAAATATAATTGGTTTACCCATCAAACCTGATATGTTTATTTTTTAGTTTTTGATCATTTAATTTTTTTAATTGTTTTTTTATATTTAATTTTTTTTAATATTGAATTGGTTGGAAAATATAATTCATGATTTATTTATTTTATTTTATATTGAGTTATTACAATATCAAATAAACATATATTTTAGAGCTGATGTTTAATTTTACTAGCATCTATTTTTTCATGAAATTAAATAAAAATAATTTACAAAAATAACAAAGTTATTAAATTCATTGAAGTTCATAGTTTAAATTATATGGTCACTGAGTTCGATTCAACCTATCATTATCTTAAAATTAAAATTTACTATTTTACCCTCTATTTTTTTATTTATAAAGCTTTGTCTAAGAGATAAAATGATGTTTGCATACAATTAATTTTCACTCTTTATTTGTTTGAGGACAATAATGCCTTTTCAATTTTTATAACATTATAATTACCATATTACCTTTAAAAATTAACAATGAGAACCTTTGATTTAGGAGCCTTGTAGTAATTTTGACTTTTTAATGAATAGTTAAATTATTCTATTATCCCTACCATCAAAATTTTATTAGCCTTGGCTTTAGGGGTTTGATTGTAATTTTATAATATATATATTTTTTATTATTGTTTAGTCATAGAGGTATTTTTATGTTTTTATGAATCAATGAATAATATGATTACTCCATTACTTTTGTCATTCAATTTTTTTAGCCTAGAACCTTTAATTAGAGAGGCAAGGTCTCCAAGAGAAGCAGGTAGATACCTAGCATCTAAACTTTTTAAATTCAATTAACCTTTTGTTGGTATTTTTTATATATATATGCGTGTGTGAACTCCATCGTTATATTTATTTGTTAATTTTATTTTGTTATGTATTAATATTTATAGTTTTATTTATAGTTTTTTTAATATTAATTGCTTTTGTAAATGTATATACACCGGCATATTATGCACGAATTTGTATAAAAATGATGTATGAAAGTATTATATACTAGTTATGAACATGGATGATAATGGGTATCTATGAGGAAGGTTTTACAATACATATACTCAAACTTAAGCTTATTTTTTTTTTACCCAAACTTGATTAAATATAAACCAAACATGATTGAATTAGGTTTCTAGTATCTATCGGTTATTAACAACCTACCTTACCCATTCCCTTGTTTTGTTATTGATTTGATATCCATCCAAAGTCACCATTCAAGATCATCAATATAACATTTAAGAAATTTATAGCTATTTTCACACCTCCAAATCTTGGGTGCGATGAATATATATGATATAATTTTTAAAACAATAAGTTAACAAACCATATCTTCTCCCTCAACTTTAAAAATCTCTAATATTACAATAATCTAAAGCTATGATAATACATCACATTGGTGTTTGTATGTATCATAATCAATTCTAACTTCCATCTCTTCTCAACAAATCTAGATGAGAACCTAACTAAGATTAGCCTGAAAGTTATTCTAAAAGTGACCCAAACTGGTAGTAATCTTTTCCTCTTCCTCTCATAAGAAACACTGGATTCTAGCATAATAATAGAAAATAAAAAAACTTGATCTAGCTTATTCATAAAAAAATACAACTTTTATTTAATTGTTTGATTTCTGCCACAATTACACTGTAGATAGCGTGTAATGGTATCATTTGGTTTTGGAGCAAGCAATTAAATCTCTTAATCAACTTGGATTTGATCTTGTTGTTTCATAATAGAAATATTAGTGCAAAAAATGAAAGAGAAAAAAAAGCTAAAAGAAAGGAGTAAGAAGACATGACTGGAGAATGAAGACGTTACAAAGGAGAGCGAGTTTATGTACACAAAAACCTTAGATTTTTTTATTTATATATGCTTGGTATAAAATGTAAAATTTTCAGACTTTAAGGTTATTTATGTAATTCAAGTCGGGTTCGACTATATTCATACCTTACCAAACTTGACCTTTTGACTTCCAATGTTACCCAAATCTTACTCGAACAGAAAAAAAAATCCTTACCCATTCGAATCAGTATTCATCAAGTTTTAATGAAATTATCATCCCTAATTATGAAATGTGGGATGAAAGGATATAAATAATGAATAAAGAAGTATGAGATATACCTAAAGTTACCATGTGAAATTTATTTATGATATAATTTTATACGAGAAATAATGAGATAGAATTTTGGATAGGATCCAATATAAAAAAAACTTTACTAAAATTTTATCAAATTTGATAAATTATATAAATAATTTGTTTAAAAATAATATAAAATATTAATTCAAAGTTATCCAAGAAAATAAATCCATGGAGTAAAATCTAGTAATATTATGGATGCAAATCCAGTACTGTATTGCATCGTAATATCCACCGAAAATGATGCATATATTAATTTATTTTTTATCCAGTATACAATACATTTAAAAAGTTAAAAGATAAGGTATCTGAAATACAAAAAAAAATAACTTGTAATAAGTAGAAGAGATGAATATAGAAGTTATTATTTAAAAGAGAAGATTTAATTGCATGGAACATATTGATTATACAAGCTGATGTTAATAAAATTGTTAATAAATAATGACGTTATGTCATATAAAACATTGGTTAAATTTTATATGACATCACAGGTTGGTATAGAAATTGTAGTTTCGTTTTGTTAGTGAAATTTTTTTTTTTTGTATTTAAGTTTAGGTTTTTTATATGTGTATGTTATTTCTGTAATATTTTAATTATTTATTAAGTTTGCAGGGTATTCAGTGAATTTAAAAATTAATTATAATATATATAAGCTAACCCAAATATCATGTATTATCAAATTATCAATTTAATTGTGTTTATTTTATAAAAAGTTTTTTTTACAATAGTGTTATAATTAGAATTTTATTATGTCATGATGTTTTTTTTTTTATCCTCCCATCTTCTTATAATTTATGCCAACTCATTTTTTTTTAATACTGCATTTATTATAGGCGATAATTTTAAATGTTGTGTTTTTCGACCGCAACATGAACTTATTTCGTTATTTTTTTTTATCTGTTTTTTTTTTGCCATTTTCTTTTAAATGGGGTTAATAAGCAAAAATACCAGGCAATCTCAGCCATCAAAATCACTGGACCCCACAATTCGCACTTTTCATTTCTACAACACGAGGGAGCCTATCACTCCTAACCAAGCTCAACAATCTCTCTCTCGCTCACAAAAAAAAAATAAAATAAAATTCCAGCAAATCTTTTTTATTTTTTTTAATCTTTTCTGCTTTCACTTATTTCTTTTCAAATGAAACCCAACCGGTAATCACTGAAAATTCGATCAATGGCGATCGCGTCTCCATCGACAACAACGTTTTCTGCTTCCTTCTGTTGCAAACGAGCTGAGTCTACTCACCCAACTCTCTTCCCTTCTATCTTGCCCACTCAACGGGCTCACCGCCTTCCAACTCGCCGATTCGCGATCAACTCCCGACTCAACTCCTCAAAATTCTGCGGTTCCCTTTCTCCTGACAATGGCGGAAGCCAAGATTTCGAGCAGTACGAGCTTCAACACGGATTCACTGGCCCGATGGAGCGGCTGAAGAAGGGATCGCCAGTGTACGTGATGCTGCCGGCGGATTCGGTGAGAAAGGATGCAAAAGTGAGGAGGGTTAAGGTCTTGGCGGCGTCTTTGAGGGCGTTGGTGACTGCTGGAGTGGAAGGTGTGGTTATGGAGGTTTGGTGGGGGGTAGTGGAGAGGGAGAAACCTATGGTTTATAATTGGGGAGGATATTTGGATCTTGTGGCGTTAGCCAGACGGTGTGGGTTGAAGGTTAGAGCTGTCTTGGCTTTCCATCAACATGGCATTGGACCTGGAGACCCTTTATGGTGAGAACTTATTGATTTTGGATCAATTGTTTTAATTTCTTGTTTTGTTAGTTAATCGTGTTGTGTTTCTTTTAGTTTTAATACTGGGGGTTATGCAAATTGGTATTGATTTTGGGAATTCGAGTTTGTTGTGGGGGTTTGATTTAATGTGTGGAGATTGGAGGTGTTTCTTTTTGTTAATTGAAAGTTGTAATCGTTTTATGATTATTACGTCAAGTCTTCTGCTCTAGGCCTTCTCTTTGTTATTGTATACATCCTATCTTCGGTGAATACTTTTGTCGTTGTTAATGTCTTCATTGCAATTCTATCAATTGTCATTTTATGAAATAAATGTAGGTGGCTGTGGGAATACTGAATATGTGGAGTTTTTTAGTGCATGTCTCAAGAATGTGATAATGCTTGACTGTACTGTGTTACTGCTTGCCCATTGTCAGTGGAATTATTTTATAATATGGGCTGTTGAATCTCGCGAAGCTGTAGAAAAATGTAGAGCCTAAGGTGTGATGAATCAGATAAATGAGTGAATTTTTCTCTCAAGAACTCGGTTGAAGATTTCTTCGGTTGTCACATACTTTGGAGGAAGGCCGTGGGTGCATTTTCCTCCCTTCTCTCTCTTGACATGGCTAGGTGATTGGAACTCCTTAGGGCTGATTAGAAACATATTTGAAATCAGTTTTTTTAAAAAAATTTAAAAATTTATACTTAATTTTTTTTTTTAATGTTTTTGAATTGTTTTGTTCTGTTAATGTTAAAAAAATATTATTTTGATGTATTTTTGAGCAAATAATATTTTAAAAAGCAACTGCGACCATACTTTCTAATACACCCGTATTAAATTCTAGCAAAGTTGTAAAAGAATAATTGAGTTCAAAATGTAGAGCCTAATCATGTGAATTTGAGAAATTTTTCCCTTGATAACTCAATTGAAGATTTCTTCAATTTGTCATACATTTCAAGGAGTAGGTTTTGGCTGCAATTTTTGCCCCTTTCCCTTCTAGCATGCTTAGGATAGTGTTTGGATACTGTCTGAGATAAAAAAGATGAAGACTATAAAGACAAGATTGACAAAATAGAACAAATAGTGATAAAATTATACAACATAGATTAATATTTTTGTATAGTTAATGGTGGACAAGATATAATAAATATAAAGAAGTTTATTTTACCCTTAACATGTATTACCGTCAAACTTATATATTTTAAAAAATAATTAGATTTTTTTCTTGGTTTATATTGAGTATTGAAATTAATAACAATATAATAACTTTAGTTATAAAACCCAAACCGCCTGGCGAGTCGACCCAAGACCTGAAGCTTGGACTAGTCTAGGTTTAAAAAAATAGAGGATGAATATACCCAATTTAACCTGATAAAAATCCAGGGCAAATTGTGATCTGGTCGACCTAGGATAAAACCTGGTCAAGACCCGTGATTTTTATTTTGATTTTTTTTTTGTCAAAACAACTTTGTTTTGATTCTTTTTAAAAGAAATTTTTCTGGGTCAACCCAAGTTTACCTTTTCGACTTGTGACCCAAACCTTGCCTCAGGTCAAGTTTTAAAACTTTAATCATAATTATTTTTATCATTATATGTTCTAATTGAATAATTTTGGAATTAAAAGTTTTTTATAATGATATTTTAAGGAAAAGATATAATAAATATCATATGTGAAGACATATTTTCTATGCATCTTTTGTTTTGAATATACAGAAATTCACATCAAAATTGTCCTGGAGAAAGGTTTATTTTCATGTCTGTCATTTTAATCAAACATGGTTTTGTCTCATTGTCTCCATTTTTTTTTTTTTTTGTCTCGGGACGCTAACCAAACGTTATCTAGGTGATTGTATCTCCCTAGTTGATGGTTTCAATGTGTGTGCAAGACCTACTTTCACTTCCAGTAGTTTTATCCAGTGAGTTTTATGTTCTGTGTATATAATGGATGGATGGAACAGTGTGTTATTTGTCTAGGATCTTCATTCTGATGGAGTACCAATCCAAATAAAATTGAAACAGCCTCTAGAAAGTTTTGGAAGACATTCTCAGGAAAAGTAAAAGTATGCATGTAGTGTGGTCAAGGTTCCGCGAATCAAGCACAATGCAGTAGCTTTTACACATTCGATGAATGCTGATGATACAAATGGTTTTATTCTTTGGATAGTACTATAAGTTTTACAACATTGGTGGTCTGAACCATGTAACCATGTTGATCTTTGGCTTATACAATCCCCTCCTATTTTTTTTTCATCTGTCTTGAGTAACCTCTTAGTCATAGATCATTGACCAGATTGCGTGTTGCTTTCTTGGCAAATTTGAAGTATTTTTTTCTACCAACTTACCTTGAACCTAAAGTGTTTGGTTCATGGTCTGGTGTGGTGAGGGCAACCTTTTGCCTCTATTCTTCTTTCTTTGTTGGGCTTCTGGTAGTATTTGAATTTAGTGAGTCATATTATGCATATGTTGGATGCATTTAATTTTGGCACCATAAGTTGTCTTACAGACATTTTTCAAAATTATTGGTCTCACACTGTGTTTCAGGGTGATAATCTGGTCTGAAAGAAAAAATTCTTTTGACAAATTTGATTTGATAATTTTCCCTCAAGCTTCTTGTTTAGCTTTCCTTCTTGTTTGTCTATATGCTAGTGGCTCTAAACAATTTGTTTTATGTGTTGAAGGATTTCTCTTCCTCAATGGGTGCTTGAAGAGATGGATAAAGATCCAGATATAGCGTATTCTGATCGATTCGGTAGAAGAAACATGGAATATATTTCTCTTGGATGTGACATGTTTCCTGTGCTGAAGGGACGATCACCACTCCAAGCTTATTCAGATTTTATGATGAACTTCAGAGATGCTTTTAGACCTTTTCTTGGTTCTGTCATTACGGTGAGATGATACTGTTTTCAGTGCAGTAAATCACTGCTTCAATCATTGACAACAGATTCTTTGATGTTGTAAGTTACTTTTCCTGATAGGTCATTTTGTAGGGGGTCCAAATCGGCATGGGTCCTGCAGGTGAATTAAGGTACCCTTCATGCTCATCACAGGAGCTCGCATGGGCTTGGCGTTCACGTGAACTTGGAGAGTTTCAATGCTGCGATAAGGTACAGCAATAAGTTCAATTTACTTGAAAGCATCTAAATCTTTCATGCTTCATAATGGGTTGCTCCAACCCATTTGCAATCCCTGATCGTCTTGATTTGACTGTTTGCAGTATATGTTAGCATGTCTGAATGCCTGTGCTCATGATGTTGGAATGCGTGAATGGGGATCTGGAGGCCCGATTGTTGCTGGGAATTTGGTGCATGGCCCTGACAATACTGATTTTTTCAAAAGGAACGGCGGATCTTGTAATACCCCATATGGGGAGTTTTTTCTTCAATGGTATTCTGGGATGCTGCTGCTTCATGGGGAAAGGATATGTAGGGAAGCCAAGACCATCTTTAAGGGCACTGAAGTTGATACTACAGCCAAACTGGCCGGGATCCACTGGCATTATGGCACACAATCTCATCCATCTGAGTTGACAGCTGGCTACTACAATACTTCAAGAAGAGATGGGTACTTGCCGGTTGCTCGCATGTTCGGCAGATATGGTTTCGGTTTATGCTGCTCCGTCTTTGGAATGAGAGACGTGGAAGAAAAACAGACAAACCCAGTTAGCAGTCCAGAGGATTTTCTTAAACAGCTTTTATTGGCAGCCAGGGTCTGTCAAATACCAATGGAAGGTGAAAATTCTGCCACCTTTTTGGAAGAAGAATCGTTTGAACAGGTGCTAAAGATGACAAAATTCTTTTCATATGGTCCTGGAAACCCCTCATTTTCTTTCAACTTTATGAGAATGGACAGATACCTCTTTGAACAACATAACTGGGCTCGCTTCACTCGTTTCGTAAGGCAAATGTCAGGGTCCAATATTTTTCGAGCCAGATTAGATTTTGGAGGCGATGTACACCGAACTTCAATGTCAGATGCTGTAAAAGCTAAGAGTTGCATGTACATATTGTTGAGGAAGAAAGATTCAAACCCATATCCAAACCAGCAAGACAAATCTTACAGTTCGACCGCCAACACTCGGTCTATGTACCTTACCTATAGCAGTACATAACGTGATGATCTCTGATAGATTGTCGCCAAATGTGCAGTGATGCCACGCTTTCAATCATTTTTTCCCCTTAATCATGCAGGGTTCTTATTATGGACCAGATTAATTGTCTGTGTACATCTTGCCTCTCTAATATTTTTGAAGTGGCCGGCGTCTCATCAATTTGTACTTGAAAACATTTCTTATGCTTGTAATGATACGTAGTACATATCTGTCCTCCCTGCATGGTGAATCGACCCCTGTCGGCTTGTCTAAAATTATATGGGTGTTGTGACATGTCGATGGTGCTTTATTATTATTATTATTATTATTATTTATTTTGTATATTTGTGGTTGTGGGGTAGCTCTTCTCTCATTTCCAATCACCCTCGAGTCTAAAATTCTCATTACAATTGTAATTAAAGACAAAACCAATATATATATATATATATATATATATATATATATATATATATCTTTTCCTGGATTGTAATATTGTTGTTTTTTAGGAGTAAAAAAAATATTTTTTCTTGTTGATTTGATATTTAAGAATTGTTTAGGAATGTCTTTATTTTTTATTATGCTTTTATACAGTAAAATAAATTTATTACTCTTAAAAAATTCTTAAAAAATTATTTAAATCTAGTCAAGAATCTTTTTGCGCATTTTACCTTTTTAATATGCAGTAAAATTATAAATTTGATCATGAGGTTTAAAAAATATTCCATTAATATAGAGGTATTGGTGTCTTTTCATATCATTTTTTTTTTTTTGTAATTGTTGGTTCCGTTAAATGTGATATTTAATTATTATGTTTTGAATTAAAAAAGTTGTTGCATGCATCAATGCTTGGGAAGCATCATGTATTTTGAATAGCATGTGTGGTATCTCCTAATGTTTAAAAATCTGCTTTCAACATCTCATTTTATTCTTCGTTGTGTCCTCTTCCTTGATAAATAACATGAGTAATCTAAAAGTTTCCGGTTTATCGTCAATGGTCCCTTTTCCTTTCTCCCTTCATTTCCTCTCCTGCCCCCTAAAAAAATAAATCTAGCCCTCATTGTTGTTGGTTTTTCAAAATCCATCCTTTTAGTTTTGATTTTTGATTTTAGTTTTTTCTTTTTTAAAGTTTTATTTTTTTTCAATTTAATCCTTCAATTTTAATTTGTATATATAATGTTTTTCGATTCAGTTCTTTTGCTTTTGATATTTTTTCCCTTGCCTCTTTTGTTAAAGTTTTTATAATTTATAATTTTATCATTTAAATCAAGTTTATAGTTTTTTTTCAATAGCAATAATATTAATTTTAGTTTGGTCCTTCTTCTTTTGATTTCTTATTTATATCCTTTGCCTTTAATCAAAGTTTTTAAATTTTTAAAATTTTATCCTTCAAATCAATATTTTTATTATTATAATAATAATGATAATTATAGTAGTTATAATAATAATAGTGATAATGATAATGACACTAACAATATTACTAATAATACTACTCATAGTGATAATAATGTTAATAACAGCAGTGATAATAATAGTTTATTATGATAGTAATAGTGGTACTGATGGAGATAATTGTGTTAATAATATTAATAATAGTAATAATTGCTATAATAATAATAATAATAATAATAATAATAATTTATTATGATGTGATTATGATATCAATAATTATAGTGATGATAGTAATAATTGTGACAATAATATTAACAACAACAACAAGAAAAACAACAACAATAATTAAGATGATAATAACATTACTTATTTATAATAGTAATAATAGTGATAGTTGCAATGACAGTAATAATAGTAGCAATAATAATAATAAAGATGCTAATAGTAATAATAGTGATAATTCATCATTCAACGTTAAGCTTGCTGGGGAATGAGTTTCATTGTTCTTTCATGTACGATATTTCTAGTCTAATAAACCAGGTTACGAGTTTGAAAAGTTGATGTGGCCCGACCTCCTCTTTTACCTTTTGCCTTATTTTTTTTTAATTTTATCATTCAATATTAGTTTTTTAAAATAAAAACCGGTCATCCAGGTTTTCTTTGAACCTATTAAATAAACTAATTCATATCGAGTTAGCTCTTATATAGTTTGATTAGAAACTTGTGTTAGACAAAGATCCAAGTCAAAGGATTTCAATATTTATCTTATTGCATGAGTTTAATAGCATTAAAAATAATCCCCATGCTTTTAATGTTTTTTTACATTTAAAGAAATTCGATTCAGCTCATGGTAGAGTGCGTGTCAATGGACTAGTAAAAGCTAAGGTTTTTGGTGTTTTTACAATAACAACAAATACTATATGCAATTTTATATTTACTATGGATTGGAGCACTGAATGTTTTTCTTTTCAATTTGATCTTTAAACTTTTTTTCTCCTTGATATTAAGTTCTTTTGAGCCTAAATTGATGGCAAATTGCTTTAATTTGTTGACTAAAAACTAAATTAAAAGTCAAAGGATCAAAGTGAAAAAAACATTAAAAATAGGTGGTGATTTTAAAATTAGCATTGACACTTCACTTTAGTCTTTGTACTTTTGATAATATAGCTTTTCTGCCGCTTTAGTTTAAACAAATTCAATTTTGCCCTATAACTTGATTTTTTTTAATTCTTGGTTTGGGAGAGAAAAGAGAAAGCCACTAGATTTCGACGTAGAGAGAGAACATGTTAGTTAACACCAATCTAATCCATAAAAAAAGCTAATTTTAATGTCATTGGATAACATTTAATGAGAGGAGTTCATCTAAGATGTTCTTTTACAATATTCTCATGGCTTGTTATGGTAGACCTGACCTCATAAATATTTTTTTAGTTCTAGTTGATTTTGGGCTTTTGACCATTTATTGAGTTATTTAAGATCATAAATGGATTTATCAAGATTTATAAGGTGTGTTTTAAATAAAAAATAGATTGAAAAATAAATTTTGACGCATAACAACCGAAATCTTAGGCGTCATTTATTTATTTTTACTTAATGCATTTTTAGCCCATTAAGTTAAAAAAAATAAATCATCCTTTGTTATGCAAATTTATCTCTTTTTTTTTTATTTTACTTATAACTTTTTTTATTATTTAACTTAAAAAGATCATTTTTTCCTAGTTCCACACATTGCCTTGTTTGTTTGTTTTTTTTTACTTTTTAAGTTTGATAGAAAAAGAGTCTCACTTGCTTGATTATTGTATAATTAAATAAAAAATAATTTAAAAAATAAAAATATATTAAATTTAGTGGGATGGATGACTCGAATCACTAGTTTAACAGTTTTACTCAAGCTTACCCAAATCGTTTTTTAACCTTTTTTTTGTTGAATATTTTTATTTTTAATTTTATTTTTTGAATATTGAGTTATTTTAAAATTAATCATTATTATTTATTTTAATTTATTTTTTATAAATTATTAAAATCTTGTAATCTAGATTACTAGATAGAACAATTCATCTATATTAATCAACCTCAATTTTTTTTTTTTAAAATAAATATATCTAATATATGACTGTGCTAGTGTTGAGAAAAAAAAGTCGTACAATATATGTCAAATCATGAATTAATGATTTTTTTTACTTTAAAAAAAACATGATACCAGTGCTTAAATAGGTTTTTTTCGCCATTGAAAGAAAATAATCCGGCTTGCGGAAAAACATGGGACAACGGACTAGTTACAAGTAAATGACGTGGCACATAAGAATATAATGAGGTTATAATGCTATATATCAACTCCTAATTTTTATTTTTTTTCTTAATTTGATCCCTATAGATATGTTTTCTTTCTTTAAATGTCATCCACCTAATCAGTAGGCTCACCAGATAAAAATTAAATTATTTTACAAGATCATGAGGTTGAATAACCATATAATTAATTTGTTTTGTTTCTTTTCCTTCTCACATCGATCATGCATGGTTTCAATCTAGATCAAAATTTATTATTTTTACTTAAAATATCAAAACTGAAACCACAGACATCCCATCGTCTCAAGATGAACACATATATATTGGCTGTCATGTTGAGCTTGTTTTGCTTGTTCTGGTAAATGGCATCAATCTGTTCTCTCAGCAAAGTCAATGAATGTCAAGAACAGCCCTGCATGCGTTTGGCTGCGTAAAATTTAAAACAACTCATCATATCAATGCCATATATATATTGAATGCTATAATTATGTGAAATGTCATGATTCTGCATCATTATCCGTTGCTTCCCTTTACTTGTAAGGGCCAAGGACCACAGCTCCTTTTCCAGCTATGTAATCTGCAACTTGCATATCAATAGGGTTAATCTTATGGACAAAACGTTTCGCCATATCACATCGTGAAGGATGGTAACCATTGATTGTTTTTGCAGGATACATTAATGGGATCCACTAATAAATTCTTCATAAGTGCTTTCAGGACAAATCTTTTCGTTAAATTAAGAAATTATTTTAATATTGCAGGCACCTGCTAATTAAGCAAGGTCATCTTGTCCTTCCTCCTCTTTTTATAGCATCATTAATCAGGTAAGGTAATACGGGGGGACACCTCTTCTTCTTCCCTTGAGAGATATTTTTGGTTCTCAAAAATGTAATCAGTTTTTAAGCTCAGACCCAAGTCTTCAGAATCATCATCAGTAGTAAAGAAACAGAAGGATGGACAACTAGTGGAACTTTATTTTAAACAGTTGGTAGCTGTGAAGAAATCCTGCAAAATGTTTGACATCCCGAATGCAAAATAATAATATAAGATGTAAGTGTTCATCATGTTTTTCCTTTCACTGAGGAAACTAAATGGCCTATCTCATACTAAGAAACATGATTTCTTCTCGTAACAAAGCCACTATAATCTGTGGCCCCAACTAAGTCATTTTGCTTTGACCTTAGGAGACAAGATGCCCTTTTTAATTACATGAAAGTATGAGAAAATGCAGGAAAGTTGAGGATTTTCTATCTTCTAGCCATACCAAAAAATGTTTTCTATCATTTTTATATACCATACATCCCACAGATTCAATATTTAAAGGTTGCACTATCAATTATTAAAACCTCCATTGCTTGCAATCATAAATTCCAGCCAAGTAATATGCAGCCAGCAGTTTACCCATCTCTAATGATGTTGCCAGTCTTAGTTGTCATGCCAATGTGGCTAACCTCACTCCTTCCCTCAGCACCATCAATCTTAGGTACAATACAACTAAAAAGGAAGAAAAACTCAGTACAATAGCATGCAGACAAAGAAAATTTATTGGTAAAAAAAGGAAGAATAAAGAAAAAGAAAAAAGATTGCTTATAAATTCTAACTA